GCGGTGGGCCACCACAGCCCTGCGCTCCCGGCTCTGCATCTTCTCCACCCCTGACTTGTCAGATGGCTGGCCCTGGGTTCAGTACTCCCGTTGCTCCACGCAGGTTCATCTGTGCACTCTTCACAAACGATGGCCACTTCGCTCCAGCCCCAGGACAGCAGCAGACCCCAAGGGCCAAGACTGGGGATGAGTCTGCCTCCCTCCTGTCTCCTGGCCCCTCCCTGCAAGCTCCTGGGCCTGCTGCCTTTCTGCCCTCACACCCAGCTCCTGCCCCTCATCCCTCTGCACTTGTCACATGCTCCTGGCCAAGGTCCCATGAGGAACTGTCAGGGGCTTTTCCCTTCCTTGCATCCAAGTCCCAGGAGGAGAGGGGGTGCTTCCTATTATATTTGAGGGCCTCCCACCTCTTGGCTCTGTACTGCAGCATTGCTTAGCAAAGACATTTAGAGAAACCAAAGCAGGAAGCAGGCCCAGATGCCTGGGTTCCAGAGAAAGAGGGGCTTCAGGAAAGTCCCCCCATTCCACCTTCTTATTCACCAGTGACTCCTCCAGATATCTGGCCCTCTACCTCCTCTCAACCTAACTGAGCCTCAGTTTCCTTATCTGTGAAAAAGGCAGTCACATCCAGGATTTAACAATATTTAACTCAGCCGCAGACAGGGATGTCTCTGGAAGCCATGTCCCCTCTTGCGTCCCCCCCCACAACCGCACTCCCCCACACCAAGCCAGAGCCAAATGCCCCTTAACTTGGGTGAATGACTTGCTGTGTAATTTGTAAGTGGGAAAGAAATCACATGTTCATGGCTTTGTCCTGCCTGGCTTTGTGAATAAGGGCCTTAATAGGCCACTCATCCCATGAGAGAACTGCTCCCAAATAGACTTTCTGCTACAAAGTCAGTCTATAAACCATTTTTCAGGGGTCCCTTAGCTCCTAATTTGCCAGAGACTCTCTCCTTAATGATATTATCAGAAGCTAACAGGTGCATGTGCGCATGTGAGGGTCTCAAAGCAGCCGATGATCAAAGGTGTGCGCCCCACCACCTCGGCACGTTTTCTGCCCTTCATCCTGACCCATGGCTGCAGCTCCTGGCCCTGCTCCTGACACCTCTTGCTTCTTCACTTCATCCCAGGGCCAGTTTAGGGTGGTGAAGGGTAAACTGCTATAAGAGGTGCTGATGCAGGGACCAGGCCAGGGGAGGGACCTCGGGAAAGCCTGCCAGCTGCGGCTCCTCCTGACTCTTCAGCCCTCCTCACCACGCCTGACTTGTCAGACGGCTGACCCTGTCTGCAAACCCTGCAGGCTGCAAAGCCCGGACTCTGCTCAGTAGTACTCATCCTTAGCCAATGGGTGAAGCCCCAGCCCCACCCAACCTCACACCCCAGCCTCTACCTGCTCCTCTCTTTGGAACCCCGCCTGCTGGCTTCCTAAGAAGAGCTCAGGATGGGCATCAGGCCACCCTGAGCCTTGTGTGTACCTTCTGTCCTTCCCATGGAACCGAGTAGGTCTAGACTGGGGGCATGAGGGTCAAAAGGAAGACTTTTGACACTGGAAATGTTTTCTTGGTGCTGCTGGTGGGGGCAGCACCCAAACCACAAAACTCACAAAAGCCCAGAACCCAGGTGTTAACTGTGAAAATGAGTCCATCCGGCACAACTCAGGGGGTAGTCCCTGCCAGAGCCAACAGATGAGGGGGGAGAGAACGAAAAGGGAAAACACACGGGTGGGAGAGAGAGGAAAGACGGGGCGGAACTGGGGTATGAGACAGTTCCTCTAAGTTGGGAGGCCTGGCCACCTAGCTCTAAGGCCCCTGCCCCTCTTGTCCTCCAAGGAGCCCTATGCCCAGAATCAACCCAGGCTGGAGGAGCAGCAGAACAGAATCATGGTTCCCTCCACTCCCTGGATAAGGGTAGGACCCGGGTGTCCCACCCCACAGCAACACTGCCCTTTGCTTGTCCACGGTACCCAGAAGGGAAGCCATGAGTTAAGGAAGACTTTGGTGGGTGAGCCTGGGAACCCAGGCACCTTTTAAAAAGTCATATTGGTCCCAAATGAGTGACTCAGAAACTTCTGGAACATGGCCCACTATGAGCCAGGCCTCCAGCCACCTATCTCAGGCTCCCAACCGGACCTTGGGAGCCCCTTTCCCTAACCCCTCCATCCCCAAAGCCAAGCTCCAGCACGGCTTCATGTCAAGGTCATGCTCCCCTGGGATGCTCATATCTTTATTCGTGTGTGTGTGTGTGTGTGTGTGTGTGTGGTGCGAGGGATTGAACTCAGGGCCTGTACGTGCCAAGCACACATAAAACAACTGAGCTACACCCCCAGCTCCTAATATTTTTATTCTTGATTTACTCATTTTTCTCTTTGTTTCTCAATTTGGGGGGTTTTGTTTCTTTTCAGTGCCCAAGGGAAAGACAAATCACGAGTTCCTACTTCTCCAGGCGGTGACCCAGCAGGGGCCAGTGGCCTGCCCTATGGTGTGCCTTGTCTGGATCAAGGCCCACAGCTATTCTTCCTGAAAGCTTCAGGGGGCTCCAAGTAAGTTCCCTGCTGACCTGAGGCCCAGAGTGACACTGGCTTAAAAGGCCATTCCAGCCCTCCTCAAAGCAAAAGGGTAAAAAGGACTTGGTGCCAGTTAAGGCCATTAAGGCAGGGCCCAAACAGGTACTCTCTTCTGGCCAGTAGAGAGAGACCAGGGATGCTTATGAGCTGTGCCTTCTACTGAGATCTGGAGGGTGACAGCAAAGTAACAGTCTCTGTCCCCAGGAGGAGGAAGAAGGGAGGCAAGGCTCCTGCTCTCGGCCCCAAAGGAAAAAAAAACCCCGTGGAGCACACACAAATGTTCTTCCAACCGTGCAGGAGCCTTGGGCTGGGAGTCAGCGCATCTGGGCTCTAATCTAGTTTCTGTCACCAATGATTGTCCATCTCTATTTCCTCCTCTGCAAAATGGGGGGTTTGGACTAGATGCTCTCCCAGGCCCCCTCCTGCACAAACATCCTCTGACCATTTCTAGAACAAATCAGAAGGCTGAAGCATGAAAGGGGAAATTGGCAAAGCTGTGAAATGCCATGTCTGTTCACCCTGAGACGGCTCACAGTAGCCACTGTCCACAGCCTACTCGCACATACCAGGGCCACCGAGGCTCAGGTCAGCAGGAGTTTCAGGTCTGCCCAGCAGGTCACCTCTTCAAGTTGACACCATCTCAGCCCCACCCTCCACAGAACTGAGCTAAAGTAGGAATCAGACCCTCTCTACAGACCAGAGAACCTGAGGCGAGCAGCGGGGAGCCTTTCTGTCATTCAGCAACAAGGCTGGCAGGCCAGACACTACTCTGGCCTATCCTCTAGTCACTGGTATGCTGCCCCGCCCCCAGGGACACTGACTACTGTCCCTCGTGTCTGCTAAAACCCAGAATCTCTGTCAGCTTGATAGGGCCCCTCTCTCTGTGCCCCTATCTCAAAACTTCTCAGACCTCGAGATGACTCAGGGGATGACACTGAAGGTAATGGTTCAGAACTTGATCCCAGACCCCAAATGCTGCCAAGCCCACCTGCCCATCTGCCTCTGACCAATTCCCAGTAGGAACGACTGTGGCCATTTTTCCCACAGAGCCCTCCACAGGCAGAGACACAGGCTGAAGTCACCAACTCTGGAAGCCATGACAGCGATGGCAGGCGCTCACATGAGAAGAGCAGGACATCGGGAGAAAAGCAAAGGGACATGCTGGCATGGCAGACTGCAGAGGCTCGAAGCTTCAGTGAGGTCACTGCCTGAGCCAGAAGGGAAAACAAGCAGCAAGTTGGTCCAAGCACTAGGAAAAAGTTAAAGCTGAGCAAAAGCCGTGTTTTCCTCTAACCAGTGGGAGGCAATGGAATAGCCCCAACTAGTTTTTTCATCAACCACCAAAGGTTCTATAGGGCCCCTGCAGACAGTCCCCATCACAGGGAGAGAAGGGTAATGGCTGGGGTGAGATGGAGGCAGGAATGGCACCGGAAGCAGATGCAAGAAATGAGTACTCCAGCCACATGACTGCCATAACTAGCCGGGTGGTCTTGAGAAGGTCACTTTCCAGCTCTGAGCTCACGTTATAAAGAAGTAGAAGGTAGGATGTAAAACTGTGGCATTTGTTGACTCCAAGCTCCATGGATGGAGTCCCCGAGTGAATTACCAGATTCTAAGCTGAGAAGGCCAGAATCCTGTCCCTGATTTCCGCAACCCCTCAGAGCCTGGCTTGGGTCCTAGCATTTAGGGAGCATAATATATTAGTTGAGCTGAGGCCAAAATTCCACCCCTTCCAGCAGAAACCATCTACCAGGACTAGCAGACTCCAGGATGTGGTGGCCAGTAGCAGTCCCCAGACGTATTCCCACACAATTCCTTCTATGGGGACACTTCCATTTCCCTCATCACCTAACTGCTCATGGCACCCCAAGCAGAAGCAGGATGTATGATAATCACATCTCCCCTCTCTGCAGCTCTTCGCATATCCTAATGAGCTCTCACCCACGTTCCTTTGATCCTGACAACAGCCATGTTCTGCAGGCAGAGCAGACAATATCCCCATTTGACGGAGAAGCACTAAGCCCACACAAGTCAAGTCACAAGCTGGAGCTAGGAAGTGATGGCCTGGGATGAGAATTCCTTGCAAGAGATTCTCCTGGCCAGGGACACTGACAGGGAACAGCCAGAATAATGCTGCCTTGAGATCAGGCCTATGAGAGCCTTCCTGTCATCCAGTCAGGGTGGACACAGATGGTGAAGTGGCCCTGCAGGCAAATGTCCTGACATGCTCCTTTCCCTAGGGGCAAACACCAGTTGACATGGAGGTGTGAAGCCAAGGGTGGAGACAGAGAGAAGTGGTCTTCCTACACTGGCTGCCAGAATGCATTTTTTACTCAAGGGCAAAGAAATCAATCCCCATCACTACCACACAGATCCCACCTGGGCTGAGAGCTGATGGCAAGTGAAGGTGCAGGGTGGGGAAGAAGGCAGGACTCACCTCCCTCAGCAGCTGCATTCCCTGAAGCTCATCCTGCTGCTGCTGGGCCACAGTGACTCCCAGGACAAGCGTGTGCACAACACAGGAGATCACAGAGATGATCACGATGGGGCTGAGGCTGAGGGGCAGTGTGATGAAGAAGGAGAAGACAAAGAAAGCCTGCCAGCCCACTGTGTCACTGGCTGCATGGGCACGGGCGAAGTTCAGGCCCAAGTAGGAGAAGATCTGGGCTGTTATCAGCAGCCACAGCACGTAGGGTACCACTTTTCGGGTAACTCGGTCAGGGAGCAGCCCCTTTTTGCAGAGCACGAAGAGGATAATGTCCAACACCAGCCCTATCCCAGCCACAACGAGGGGAGCCAGCTTGTCACTGGAAAAGACCACAGCACACATGACCACCACGTAGCAGTCAAAGAGGGCTGCGAAGACCACCAGCACCAACAGGGTCTCATGGCGCTGCCTTTTGAAGTAAGTCTGGTAGAGGTTCTCCAAGGATTCCGGTACAAAGGTCAGTCGCATGAATCGAGGCAGGCACAGGCAGGAGCCCGAGTTCCTGACGGAGATCTCATGGGTCCGGCCCACCCCACGATCAGGGTCAGAGGGCAGGCTGACGGAGTATTCTGCAGAGTACTCAGCCGAATACTCGGGCTCAGAGAAGCCCTGATTCCTCGGCATCCTGGCTGGTGTCTGTTTCTACTGGCCCTGGAGAAGTGGACTGGAACAGAGGAAGCTCCCAAACAGGCCGCCTACCAGGGCTTTCTCAGACCTGGAGAGGGCTGAAAGCCTCTTCCTGGCTGGGGCTGAAGGGTGGCCACCTGGGGCAGGAACACAGAATGGAATTCCAGGGCACAGGTGGCACTGATCATCTGGAACTTAAAAGGACAGTGCTAAGTAGGAGCACCTCTCCTTCCCCATGACCCACCCTACCCCTCACAAAAGGATCTTTGCTGCAAGATCCTCCAACACCAGGCCCTTCCCCCGCTGCAACACGGCACACATACCCAGTCCTGTCCACGCCAGACACCCGGTTTCCTTTCTCTGGTTTATGGAGGGGCCTAGCCACCTCTCCATCTCTCACACCCTCATCTCTGTGTCATCTCCCTCATTCCCTGACTTCCTCGCCTAAATTCCCTCCAGGCCCCGTCCTTAGGAGCGGAAAATAAAACGTGCCAGGAAGAAGTCAGAGCCATCCTGGGGATTCCTGCATCTTCCTTCTGTTTACTTCCTTTTTCCATCCAGCCCTGGGAGACTGGCTTCTCTCTCCAACCGGCCCCTTCCCAACCCCCGGGGCGCTGTCTGCTTGGCGGAAGCCTGGCCCGGGCCCTGCACTTACCTGTGCGGGGAGTCGGGAGCCGCGTGCCCCGGGACGGTCCCCGCGCTGGCTGCGGGACCGGGTCACGCGAACCGCGGGTTGGGGCGGAAAGGCTCAGCTCTCCCAGAGGCGGCTCCCCGCCAAGCCTCGCCGCCCCTCCAGCGCCACGGCCCCCGGCCCGGCCGGAGCGCCGCTCCCTTGCCGTCAGGCCCCGGATTCCGCCGGGAGAGGCGCGGGGCTGCCCCTCAGCATCCACCGGCGCCCGGCCGCAGGAGGAAGGAGGCTGCGGCGACGGGCGCTGGAAAATCCGGGGGCGCCGGCCAAGCGCGCCCGCCCCCGGGGCTGCGGCTCGGGGGCCGGGGTCGGGGCCGCGGCAGCGGGCGCAGGAGGCGGCGCGCGCGGCGCCCGGACCCCCTCCCTCCGGAGCGCGCGGTGGTCGCGGCGGCGGCTAGGTGCGCGCGCGGGGCCCTCGCCGGCGAGAGAGCGGGCCGAGGCCGGGGAAGTCCGCCAGCATCCTCTCACCCGCCCTCGCGCCGAGCGGTCCGCCGAGTCCGGGCGCGGCGCGCTGCACAGTGAGTCCCCGCGCGGCGCCGGCGGCTCCGGGCCACGCGCGCTCCGGGCCCCGCGAGGCAGGCGGGGGCGGCGGCGGCCCCTCCCTCCCCCAGTCACCGCCCCCTCGGCGAGCGCGTCCCGGAGCTCGAGGGCGGGGGAGGCGCTGGTGTCAGCCCGGGCCGCGGCGAGGGCGAGGTGGCAGGGCCCAGGGGTCCCCACGCTCCGACTGCAGGCAGCGGCGGGCGGGCGGCGAGGCGGCGTGGAAGCGCCGGGTGGAGGGCGGGCAGGAAGGATGGGGCGAGTCCACGCCTTCCCGCGGGCAGGCGGGTCTCGGAGGATTGAAAGCCCCGGGCGCGCCCTCCCGCAGGTGAGGCGGACTCGGGGGCACCCCAGCTGCTCCCCGTCTACCGCGGCTTCCTTCCGGCCCGGAGAGGCCGCGACTGAGGTTCAGGGACCACTCCGCCGCAGCTGCGCTGGCCTGTGTCACTCAGCCCGCCCTGGGAGCGCCGGGCCTGAGCTTTCCACGGAGGGACCTGCTTTCAGGTAGCTGATGGGAGTGACCCCTAGTACCCTGTAGGCACCTGGCACGTGGAACTGGAGGAGACTTGCTTCACAAGGATCTCCCGAGCCCATTCTGACCGTTTGAGATGTGATTAAATTCACAAACTCTCCATTAAAGTCTCAAATGCTCCTTTTGAATGGTGAGACCCCTCCCTCTCCTGCACTGCAGTTTATTTTCCTTGAATCTGACAGAACACCTTGATAATGAAGGAAGGTTGTTCTGTAACAAAGCATGTGTTGAGGGGAGGGGGTGCTGAGGAGAGATGGCAGTATTAAGGGGTCAGCTCCCCTGGGGAGAGTTGAAGTCCTGGAACAGGGGAGAAATACAGCCATCCCGGCCTGGATGGGGGATCACTTCTCATATCACTTCTCATGTCCTTGGGTGTCTCCGTGGGTGCCCTTTTCAGAACTTCATGCATCTGTTCACATCCCTCAGGGAATTGATCTGGTCACTGCCCTTTGTATCAGTTTCCTATCCTAAATCTGAAAAGCAGCCAACCTCAGCCCAAACTTCTCAGAGCTTTGATCCAAAGGTGGCCGTCGGTATAACATCAGCTATAGGAGGAGGGTAATATGAGTAAAGCAGCATTTTCCCCCATTGTTTCGACTTGTTTGGAGTCCAAGATTTTATTTTGAATTGTTATGGTAAAGGAGGGCAGGATTTTATGTTTAATAAAGGGACAGGTCTTAATAAAAGAAAAAGAGCTGATAAATACCATGTTGGGGCCTGCTTTGGCACAAGAAACACCTACAGTGCACCCTCTGTGAGTTTCCTCCTTTCCTGGCACTCATGCCAACCCTTGCAGTTTTCAGTGGGCAAGACTAGGACCAGCTCTTAGGCCCGAAGTTCTCTAGGCCTTCTGCCACCATCTATGCCCCAGCCTCTCCTCCCTGCCCAGTTTTATGAGGGAGATCTTCCACCCAGAGACTCCCTTGGCAAGAACTCCACTCTCCTGACCCTCTGACCTCTGACCCCAGCCTCCTCCCCTACTCCCAGTTCTTCTACAGTCCTTGCTGCTGTGGGCAGCTGTTCAGCAGGCTGTGTTGAGACCCAGGCAAAGAGAGGAGCCACCAGTGCCACCCTCAGGACACTGCCCACTCTGTAAGGTGACCACATCCACTGAAAAGGTAGGCCCTCATATAGTCACAGGTTACAGGTGAGGATGCTTCTGGCCAACAGGCCTGAGACAAGGCCTCTCAGGATGGGAGGGAAGGATCTGATTGGGCCTGAAAGTGGTGCCTTCCAGGTGGCTAAAGCCTCCTCACCAAGGCCCAGCAACAGGAACGTCCCACAAAACATTCCTATCACTGCTCTGCATTCTGAGTCATGGGCATGGCCCTTCTCCTTTGGGGGAGGCTTACAGTGGGACAGCTATAGCCCCTTCCTATGTCTCCCTGGGAGCCAGAGGCATGTGGGTAAATATTGCAAAGCTGGAGAGCTGCTCAAGGTCCTTCCCATGAAGAAGTCAGAGAGTCTTATCTGGTTGGTTCATAGCAGCCTCCTCCACCTCTGGTGCCTAGTACATACTCAAACATCATCTCTGAATAAACGGATCATCTCCCTAAGAAGAAATGGTACTTTATAAGGGCACTGGCTGCCACTGAGGGAACCAACTAGTCTCTCCCTGATGCTGAAAATGTCCTGGTCCAAGGATAATTAAAAATAACCACTCTCAGAGCTGGAAACGTGGCTCAGTGGTACGGCACTTACCTGGCAAGTGGCACGCACAAGGCCCTGGGTTCAGTCCCCAGCGCTGCCAAAGGGGGGAAATATAACCCCACCTTGAGATGAAAAAAGTGGGATTGTGGGACTGGTGGTTTCAGCTTCCAAGCTATACATTGTGTGTGGTTATAATCTGGACACTTGGCATGCCTTGCTTTTGTGATCAAAAGATACAGTAAATCTATCTTTAAAACACACACAGAGAAGCAACCTGTCCCTGAATGGCTGCATGGGTGACTTGCTCCTCTCATGCATATCATAAAGGAAAAACAGAATCATGGACTCGGGCAGAAGCTGGGAGAGCGTCCCCACCCTCACCCTATTCCTGCATCTGCCAGGGTGGGATGTGACTTTGCTGAAGGCACCTTTTTGTTTGTCTAGTTGAAGACTAGAGATGATTGCTAAGAATTAAGTGTTAATGGATAAACAAGAGTGGTTTGGCCCCTTGGGAAGGAGTGGCTCCAGAATCCAGCAATCAATAGACCAGAGCAGAACTCTGGTGTCCTGGGGGAAAGAGAAGTGGGAGGAGAGAAGATCATTAGTTCCCCTGGTGCTGAGCACCAGGAGGGCCCTGTTTGGGGCCTGAAAGCAGAGCCTGAGGTCAGGTCCTGTGAGGTGGTTTACTTAGGGGAGTGAGGGCCTGGCAAGTATAAAACTTAAGGGAAAGAGGCAGATGCTAGGGTTTGTGACAGAGCTGCTCTCTGCTGAGGGGGCAGAGGGGCTCCATCTGAGGGGCCATGCCTAAGGCACCTCAGAACTTCCACTAGAGGGCTAGGAGAGGGGCATATTTTTCACCTGCTGCCCACCTCTGTTGGTTATGGGTTTGTTGGGTGGTCACTCCCTAGTTCTTTGAGGTTTGTACAGGGGAGGCTGGGTGGTTAGTGCCTGGGAAGGAAATGAGAGGTCCCAGAGCCAATACAGGCAAGATGTTCCCAGGGTGGAGTAGAGAGGTAGCCTGGGAGGACATGGCACCTGACACTGGAGTGCTCCATGCGGGGCCCACTGGCTCAAAGGTTTGGATCTGGTATCTGGAGGAGGGAGGTATGTGGTCTAGTAGAAAGAACTGGAACTCGGGAATCAGAGTGCTTGGCCTCACGCACTGGTTTTCTTGCTAGCTGGAGACCTTGGATATTTATTTACTCAGGCTCCCAAACCTCAGTGTCCTTGTATTGCAAAGTCATAGCACTAAACCCTAGATAGGGTCATTATCAGGAAGGATTACTGTCGACAAGCTGGACACGGTGGCATGTACCTGGAGTTCCAACCGATTCAGGATGCTGAGGTAGGGAGGTCACTCGAGTCCAGGAGCTGCAGCTCAGCCTGGGCAGAGTGAGGAAAACCTGTCTCAGGAAGACAAGAAGAGCACAGTCCCTGGTGAATTTGCACAGATAACTCCATCTCACAGCTGGGTAGCTGGGCAGCCCTGGCCGATCTGTCCCACACGTGGTCAGCTGGGCTGCTGTCACCTTGGTCCCCTTTGATGGCTGCATCTGAGACCCTCTCTTGATTCCATTGCACTTCTCTTCTGAAGGTGCTGGCCTGTCAGTCATGTGTTCTCACTTCTTCATCTCTCCATCCATCTCCATTTCTTGGTACTTCTGCCTCTGTGTTAGGATCTCTCAGACTCTGTCACTCGTTGGGCCATTGTGCATGTGTGAGTGTGTGGGTACCCGAGGGTGTGGAAGAATGTGAGAAAGGGGAGTGTGAGTAGATGTGTGCAGATGTCTGTGTGAACGAATATGAAGAGTGTGTATGAGTGAGTGTGTCCTCTCTAGTTTTCCTTGTCCTTCCTGCCTGGGTGCTGCTGGCGTCTCCCCAGGCTGTCAGTGCTACAACACAGCTGCCTGGACCCTGCTTGCTGCCTTGGGCACTGTTTCTAGGCCCTCTGGGTGGGCGGAGGGCAGCAGAGCTGAGAAAGTGCAGCAAAGACATCCAGGTACTGGCCTTCCCCAGGCTAAGTATGTTCCCAAGGCTGTCCCCCCTGAGGTGTAGGTGCCTCCTAAGGAGCAAGCCCCAGATCCTCTGGCCCCTCAAACTCAATCTTTGAAGCAAAGCCAGCTATTTCATAATCTGTTGTTGAAATAATGTCAAACTCTAATCATGGCGTCAACTGACTCCCGTTGGCCTCATTCCCCTCTGTGGTTCCCTGCCTTCCAGGCATTGTATTCTCCCCTTCGGTTTATGATGTAAGTACTAATAACATCCCTATTTCATAGATGAGGAAACCGAGGCTCTGAGGCTTGAGGAAGGGCCAGGACTTCATGTGCTAGACCATTTGCAGACTGGACTCCAGCAGGATCCTCAGGAGCTTCCTGTGGATCCCCTTGGTTTCTGTAACCAAGGGCCTGTGGTCCATGAGACCACAGTAAGACCACAGTAAGACAGCAAGACTTCAAATGTTGTTCTCTAGCCAAGTTGGGAAATTGAAGCCCAGAGAGGTTAAATTCGGGCAGAGGAAGACACACGCCTGTGAGCGTGGAGCAGCCTGTGAAT